GTACTTATAGTACGCACCGTACGTAGTACGCGTAGTGTGCGTACTTCAAGCGTGCATACCCCGAATTGGGACACAGCTTCAGTCTGTTCTCCTTCCTCAAAAGACAAGCAGCCCTGTCACTGAACACAAACGCACCTGTTTTCACGCTCAGAAACATTTAGCTGTATTGAAAACCTTCTCTTTAAACTCCTCGGTGGGTTTAAACTGGGATATTCTTTTTTCGGGAAATCTCACCATCCTATGGATATTTCTCAAACTCAGAACATTGAAGCGGAAATGGCTGCTCGGACATCTGAGCGTCTCTGCTGGACTCACTGTGTCTGCAGGTGAGCGTTAACTAACATAAGAGATTTCTTCATATTTATTAGATTTCCAAACTTGCTCATAAGTAAATCACGTGAGACCTGCCTGCAGATAAACAGTTAAGGAAACCATAATTTCCACTCAGAATGTGGAGTAACTCCGGAGCGGGTTAAATATATATTTTCTTTTTTGTTTGCTGACTCCAAAAACCAAAACGTTCAGTCAGAGACGATGTGAGGAAATTAAAAAAAACTTCCTGCTTCTCGCTGTGCGCGCTCAGGTCAAAACAGGCCGTTTTGTTTTTGTCTTGTGCGCGTAACCGACCGTTTGAGCGTTTCCCACGTCACTCAGAGAAATGATCAGAAAACAGCTGACAGAGAGCTACAAAGTAAAGCCTTTAAATATACGAGGAAACATGATGCATTAGTGGTGCAAATGAGATGCGAGAGCATTGCTGGGCATTAACGAGAAGCTTTTGTGCGCGCACACTTTGAGCGAGAAACGTAAGTCACGGTTCAGCAGGCTGATTATAAACCGTGTTCTTACAGCACGGAATCTACAAACAGCCTAAAACACACTGAGAAGAGAAACTGAAGATTACAGCTGATTTTAACCTGGAAGTCAGAAGAGTTACTATGGTTACCCACTGAAGACTGCATTTGTCCATCTCGCTGTTTGCGACATCTGCTGCTGTCAGAACATTTAAAACACAAAATCTGAGGATTTCTTGTTTCTGTTGTTGTCGCTCCACAGGACACAGCATGTATCCGGGCATACACCCAGCCTGAAGGGAACACATTCATCCATCGAAGCTCAACATAAAACTCTCATTTCAAACTTGTATTTAAACAGATCGGACTGAAATATGAC